GCGGGCGCGCAGGGCCGGGTGCGCAACGCCCTGGCGCGGGCCGGACGTGCCGCCGCCGCCGCGCTGCCCTACAACCTGAGCCTGGAGGTGGTGCCCGGCGCGCCCGGCCACCGCGACCCGGCCTCGCTGGCGCGCTGGCTGTGCCAGGCGCTGGTGGTGCGCGGGGTGGCGGCCGTGGTCGCCTTCCCCGCCTCCCGCCGGGAGCTGCTGCAGCTGGACGCGGCCGCCGCCTTCCTGGAGATCCCCTTCGTCAGCGTGGGGCAGGAACAGGAGGAGGAGGGGGGCGACGAGCAGGAGCCCCCCATGCCCTTCAGGAGCCGGGTAAGCGCGCCCGCGGAGCCGCGGCCGGGAGGGGGAGGGGCGCGCCCGCGGAGGCCCCCGAGCTCCGTGGGCAGGAGCAGTCTACCGCCTCCAAACGATCCCATTGGCCCCAGCCGGCGTGGTGGGTGGCAAGGTATTCTGGGTCGGGAACCGTTATGGAAGCGGCTGGTGTGACCCACATCTGGGGGGTGCTTGATGTCTGTGGGTGGGCAACAAGAATCCCTTTTCTGCCCCTCCTTTGGGAGAGTTGCCCCCCCCCCAGAGCTTTTGGTGTGCAACTCCCAGGAGTCTGCTCATGGACTGTGCTGACTGGAGTTGATGGGAGTTGTAGTCCAGCACATCTGAAAGGCACCAGTTGAGGGCAGCCACTGGCTTAGGGGTGACCTTAGCGGTCTGCCCCCCGGCCAACCCATCTGTTAGCTGAAATTGTCAGTCCCAGGCAGTTGGTGGCATGAGGCGCCGGGTGTCCAGTCGCAGCCTCAAATGGCCCTTTAGCTTGTCTTCTTGAGTCTTACCTCCAGATTGGGCGGAGGAGCAGCAGAAAATGTCCCCTGTCATCAGTATCAGTGGGTAATTAAATTAACGAACTTCCTGTTGATTTCCAAGGCCAGGAGCAATCTACCAGAGGGTGACATGTGCTGGAAAGAAACCGCAGGATTACTACTCTTTAGTAGAAATACTCCGGCTAGTAGTAATGCTAGCATCTATTTATTTGCTTCTATCTATAGCCTGCTTTTTTCCTGAAGGAAAGCTAGGACAGCCTTACATACGCTTCCTTCTCTGTTTTATCCTTACAACAACCCTGTAAGGTAGGGAGAAGCTGAAAAACAGTGGCTGTCCAGATGCGCTTCATGGTCTAATGCAAACTAGAACCTGGATCTCTAGAGTCCCAGGATGACACTCTAACCACTAGGCCACACTAGCATTACTGCTATTAGGAGTGCTAATAGTGGAACTACTACTTCTTACTATTACTACTGGAGTACTGCTACTGGTGAGGTACTGCTAGTAACTGCTAGTAACAACTAATACTGCTATTAGTGGTACTGCCATTAACGCTGCTACACCTGAGACTACTAATACTAGTGTTACTACAAATAGTGCTACTAGTGGTACTGCTACTAATAGTAGTAAGTAATTAGTAACCACCTTTCTCTCTGTGCCTGATCTTCTGAGCTAAACGGCCCCGCTTCATCTGCTGGAGACAGAAGCCTGGGCTACTGGGCCCCTTTGGTCTCATCCAATAGGATGTTCTTATATTTTTATTACTCCTCATGATCTAAGCACTTGCTTGGTTTGCACAATATGGGGGAAACAACTACAGGATTAGACTCACTACTTTCAGCTCCACTCCTTTTTTTTTTTTTTTTTGCTTGTAAACTTTCCTGACATACAAGTGGCAGAATTTGAACCCAAGCCCACTTTTCCTCCGCTTCTCAAATGACGTCTACGGCCAAGCCAGACCACGCCATCCCCAAGTTCCCGTTCTTTGCCCTTCACTAGCCTGCTGTCGCTCAGATATTTTGTGCACCACCTCCTAGCACAGCTGGTTCAAGGATGCTGGGAGCTGTAGTGCAACGCCCCTGGAGCTTGGCGGGAGTCTTGGTCCTGGGACTTCTTGGATGCTTAGACACCCATCCGTCGCCAGAGCCCGGGACATTCCGGTGACCACACAGGCCGCAGCCATTCCGGGCTGGGATCCAGAGTTCAGGACCTTTTCTGATTCCTGCATTCCCCTCAGCCTGGCTCTGCAGGGACCTCGGGGCTTCTTTTCTCTCTGCCCCCCAAGCTGTTCCTTCTCCACTGAGGCAGTTCAGTGGCCCCGAGTCACCCAGGGTGCACGGCCGTGCCAGGATCCAGTTGCCCTCCTCCAGTCTGCGTTTTGTAGCAGGACCAGATCTCCTTTATACAGGCAGCTGCTCTCTACCTGGGTCCGTCCGGCTCCCTCCCGCCCTAGCAATTGCTGGCAACTCTTAGCCCTGATGGGAGATGCCCAGGCTGGGCCTTGGGAGCATCAGGAAGCGGGTGCACCACCCTTCCTTGCAGCTTTATCCCTGCCAAAGAAATAGGGCTGGCTCTCCCGTGTTACCTTCACAACAACCCTGCAAGGTCGGTTAGGCTGAAAGAAAATGTCTCAACCCAAATCCTGGCAAACGAACCCCATCACAAGATCCATTCCCCCCTCTTCCCCAGCTTGGAACAGTTTCCCTGCAGATTCTACCAGGCAATGAGGACTACCTCCTTGTTTTTCTGAGTTGCATCGAGGTGTTATTCCACAGTCTTGCTCCACGCAGTTGGAAGTGGCTTGTATAATAAGCAGCTGTGCCCCCTCTCCCAGCATAAATAAAAATCTGCACTGATCAGCGTGATAGCAGATTTGGAGGGGGGGAGCCCTCCAGAAGAGGGCTGGTTTGTTTTGGAATCCCTGCCCTCGCTCCGCAGCAGGCGTTTCTCTTGCTTTTGCCCTGTTGCTGGTTGTATAACACTGCCTCCCAGGGCAGCTTTTGTTGCAAAGAGATAGATGGCTTTGTAAAGATGGGGGGGCGCTCCCTCCAGGGCTGAGGAGGGGTGCAGCAGCCGGTGGAATGCACGGGGGCATTCTCCAGCAGCTCGCAAGACTGGTACCCTTCTATTGGCACAGGAAAAAGTGCCCTGGGGATCTAGGCATAAAGATATCTTGAAATAAAAATACCTCAGAGCAAAGGGATCTGGTGGAAATAGGTTTCTCTCTGCACCCTTGCCCCTTTATTTCTGTATTTAAAACCCAGTCATACTGAAAAATGGTATCTCTGTTTGGGGTACACATTCTGTCCTCCTTCCTTCCTTCCTTCCTTCCTTCCTTCCTTCCTTCCTTCCTTCCTTCCTTTCTTTCTTTCTTTCTTTCTTTCTTTCTTTCTTTCTCAAACCTCAATATCTAGGAATTATTCTGAGAGGATAATTATCTTTCCCAAGAGTCATGTCAGGCTGGGTGGGGGGGCACCCTTGTGTGGATCTTTCACGATCTCGGAGAATTTCTTCCCCTTCAATTCCTGCAGCCAATTTCTTCTATAAACCACTCAGTATGTTGCTCACAGTCTCTGCAAAATCCAATTCCCTTTCGGCATCAACCAACAAAAGACTCAATTTGAAAGAGGTTTTTTTTTTATTTAAAAAAAAAACCAAATCTATTTGGAAGTCTTTTTTACTGAGCATCAGGTGAGACTGGTGGAGGTGTATGGGTGAGGAAAAGCACTCTGTTTATGCTCTGAGAACAGTACTCTTTTGCATGAAATGTCTCCCAAAGCTTCACCACTAAGTTCAATCATATTCTGAGAAGGTAAATTTAACTATTCTGGGGTTGAGACCTATTCCAGATTAAAAATTTGGAAGCTCTCTCATGGAATACAACCTGAGACCCCAGTTACTCTCAAACAGCATTGAAATCTCCTAAACTAATTGGAGATGCAGTGTTTTGGTATGAGTAAAGGCAGAGTCCTGTTTCCCTGCTGGGAACCCCGAGTACATTACTTTGTCTTTTTCTATCAGTCTATTTTCTCCTCACAGGTAGGAAAGGCTGAGAGTCCATGCTTGGCATAGAGTTTCGTGACCAAGCGGGGACTGGAAGCCAGTTCTCCCAAGCCTGTGTCCAACTTTCTAACCGCTGTGCTACACTGGCTTTCTTTATTAAAAAGGAGGCCAGGTCTGAAATCCAGAACTTGCACTGGTTGTTATGTGCTCCTTAAGAGAAACGTATTCCTGGTTACGTGCAGAAAGCTTTCCCCTTGTCACACAAGAGGGGGTTCGACCTGCAGCAAATCCTTCTGGAACGCTGGAGGGCCGAAACAAAGATGCATGGATTGGTGCCCTTGCGGAAGGACGCTCCTAGCTTTGTAAACAGAGAGATGGAGAAATGCGTGAGGAATCATCATTACCGAGAGACGATGCAGAGGCTCCTCGAGGGCAGGAAGGGAGAAAGCAGCTGCAAGGTAGTTCCAGTCTTTCTTGCTGGAGCCCTAGATCCTGGTGCCCCAGCTAGCTGGCTGCAGATCATGGGTGTTGTAGTCCAGCATGTCTGGACTGCAAGTGGTAGAGGCAGCTGGCCACCCTCCAGATGAATCTTATTGTAGGAATGTTGGAACTTCACTCCTGGGGGGAAATTGGACCCATATGGAGTCCTTATCATGGCCCTTTGCCTTCCCCCTGTTCTCCCACCTCTGGCTTTAGAGCAAAGCGTTCCTTCATCCCAAAAGGTTGAAATGACCCTCTTCAAGCTTCTTGTTGGCAACCAGAGAACAAAGGAAATCTCCCCCGGTCTGGTTGGCCCCATTCCTTTTTGTCGCTGGTCCTGTCCAACATGGGAATGTGACCCCCACATTCTCTCCAAAATGGAATTTGGCTTTGAAGGCACTTGTGTTTTAGCACGGCCCAGAGAGACCCTGAGAGTTGGTCCATGGCCAGACTTTCTGCTGCGTTTGGGCTGGAGCATGGATCCTGTGACAAGCCCCATTTTCTGGTTCTGATTTCAGGCATCTGGGGAAATAGACCGGTGGTGCTGGTTTATCAAAGCTGAGCTAAGAAAGTCCATTGTGCATAGAGAAAAGCTTACATTTAAAGAAAGTTCTAGTCCTTTAGTTAAAAGACAAAGGTGCAATACCACAATCTTTTCTTGTAGGGAGTGGTCTTACCTGGGTTATCAGTACCACAGAGTGCAAACTAAGATGCATTGGCTCCTTCTTGGAATGCAAACCAACAGGAAAGCAGGAAGACAGTATCCCAGACAATTATTATTTATGACTTCCACTGTATCTTATATCTGAAGATTTCAAAATCCTAAATGTAACAGCAAAAGATGTTTTCTCCACCAGAGGCACTTAATCTTTAGCGTTTATTGAGAGATTCTTGGCATTGGTTATATTTGCCTTCATGATAAGCATAAGCTGCAGGAAATTTTCTTCTACAAAAACATCTTCCAGAGCCTAATTAATCCACACAATTCTTTTTCCAATGGTGTGATGGCGGGT